TTGGTAGTGACAGCATGGCCATGATGGTGGCGATGATGACAGCAGGGACGGTGACGACGGTGCACATAATGGTGGTCGTTGCAGTGAAGGAGGTGCCAGTGGTGGTAATGGTCATCGTGACGATGCTGTGAACATATCTCCTATGAGATCAGGTATGATCAAATGGTAAAACAGGGACCCCTCAGGCCCATCTCCATGACACTCCTTTAATCCAGAGAAAAAATTAACTCAATCCATAGTGCGTTCACTAGGAAACGACCATGTGGCATCTTCAGAAAGAAAGTGTCTACCTTCACCGTCTCTAGAGCTAAGAGCAAGGACAGGAAGCAGATGTACAATACCGTGAACACAGCATCCCAGGTTGTGAGCAGTGCCTGGTAGAATGACCAGCACCAAGTAATCCTGAAATTATTTACTTGAGGAGTGAACGAAAGCTCTATGGATTATTGTGAAGTCCGAACTAGCTTGATTGTATAAAGAGGATGATATTGAGCACTTAACCATTCTAACCACTTAACTCAGTAAATCTCAACAGTCTTACAAAATAGATACTAATGTTGTTACCATGTTAACAGATGAGACAACTGAGGCACAGATGACTCCAATAGTTCTATGTTGCACAGCTAGCAGGTAAATAACTTAGAATTGGAACCTGGAAATCGTTGTGCTAGGGCATGGACTCCTTCCCCTAATGTCCTCAGACAAGGCTCCAGGGTGGAAGAGGTACAATTAGAATTGAGCTGAGAGGAAGGGGTAATGGCAGGAAAACTCTCAAGAGGGCCATTCAGGGCCTAGGAAATAGTGTTTAGAAGTCATCTGAATGATATTCTCAGAGATAACTTCCAGGAAGACAATCTGGAACTCAAGTCACAAGTGGATTCCATAGACTCGTGTTTGGCACAATGAAATAAACAGAAAGCAAGTCAGAAAGAGTTATCCTGGACTTTTCAGGACCATGAAAGATGTCTTGCTTACCTTCAGACAGATCTCTGTCCTGCATTCCTTGCAAAAGGGAGCACTCACGGTGGAGATGGGGGAGGGCACCGTTGTAAATCTGATGCTCTTTAGCCAGTGCAAGAAGCAGGAATGAGCTCAGTGATGACCCTGACCTCTACGTGGGAGGCAGCATTCAATGTGGGCAAAGAGGGACTACAACAGGGAACAAGGAAGGTCCAAGATGGGAGCAGCGTCTCAAGCCCAGGAGGGAAGTGGGAAGGAAACCAGAGACTGGCCAGGTTTCACAGGAGAGTATGGCCAGGCTCCAGCACAGGGCAACTTGGGGAAATTTCTCTGCCATTTCCGGTTTCCCAGCTGTACTTTATTGGCTTGGCCCACCTGCTCCAACTCTGCTCTCTGCCTCAGCACCTAAAGGCACAGCAGCACCTCCGACTTTCTGCTACATTAAGACTGGCTGGAAAAGGTGAAAATTCAGTCTACCTCAGGACAAGAAGATGAATGATTTACAGGGAAATTATTTAAAAATCTCCTCAAAATAAAGACTATACTGTCAGGGTGGTCAAGAATACAAAAGAAATATAGACACAGGCAGAGAAACGCACGTGTGTTTTCATTTGGCTAGGTTTCTTTCAAATAAAAAATGTTGTCGGGAAAACATTCCGAGTGAGAACTTCTTTCTTGGCACGAAGCTGGCAGTGTCTGGGCTCCCTTCTCAGAACACCAGGGCCCTTCAAACCAAGTGCAGGATTCTGAGTGTGGTTACCTGCCATAGGCCTCGCCGCCAGCCTGGGTGAGGCGCGTGGTTTGAATCCCTCTCCACTTTCCCTGGCCATTTCACCCATCTTCTCCGACACATGCCTTGGGGGCCCTGGTTTAGCTCAGCCACGTGATTTCATTTCCTCTTTGCCTCAGTCTCCTCATTATGAAATGCGGCTAAAATGGCTTGCTCAACAGCCCTCACCAAAGTGAAGAGCCCTGCCGCCATTTGGGATGGGGGTGGGGGGGCAGGTAAGTGCAGGGAAAGACCACTAACAGGTGCATGGATGGGAGGTGGGACATTTTCAGATGGATGCTTCTCATAAATGGGGCAGTTGGCACCTTCCAAATGCGGTTGGGTGGGGGGGGGGGGGGAAAAAAAAGGAAATTTAAAACCAAGGGGAATTTTTTTTTATTTTTGTAATATTTATTCATTTTTGAGAAGAGAGAGAGCAGGGGAGGGGCAGAGAGAGAGGGAGAAAGAGAATCCGAAGCAGGCTCCAGGCTCTGACCTGTCAGCACAGAGCCCAATGTGCAGCTCGAACCCACATACTGTGAAGTCATAACCTGAGCCAACGTCAGACGCTTAACAACTGAGCCACCCAGGTGGGGGGGGGGGGGGGGGGGGGGGGGGGGGGGGGGGGGGGG